AGGACCAGGGGTCTCGGGGTAGACAGCTCGGGGATGGAGAATCGGGTTGGGAGACAGGCTGGAGACAGACTAAGACGTCTCCCAGGCCGGGGGGAAGCTCCCAAGAGGGCAGTGAGGTTCAGACGATGGTCTGAGGACGACCTCCTGGGCTGTCTAGGGTGTGGGGCAGCCGGAAGGCGTAGGCCTGGGTGGGGCCAACATCATAGGCTATTCCGGAAGAATTTCAAAACCAGGCTGCACTCTCACCTGGGTTCCCAGCCTCAGGGCCTTGTCTGTGAAATGGGGCTGCAATGGTGTCTACCCACTGGGCGTGTTAGTGGGAACTAAATTGGTCAGCACAGCCTTAGGCCACACGGTTGAAATAACAGTGTCAAGTGCATCTGTTTGCCCCTCACAACAGAGCCACTCCTGGTCCCGTTGTATGTGTGTTGTGGGATAATGGCCCAGTATCAATGAAAACAGTGTTAAATGTGGCCCTTCCCATCACAAGTCCCTGGTTCTACCCCACAGAACCTTGGTAGAATGTGTGAGAAGTTGCACAGTTACACGTAAAGCAGTCTGGTGACCCAGCAGAGTCACTGAGGCTGGGGGCCCTCACCCCCAGGGCACCTTGCTTAGAGCAAAGGTGAAGCTCTGAGTCTGTGAAACATGTCGTGGCTGCACCTTCACTCAGGAACCACCGGGCTGCCCAGAGCACAACTGTGGCTGAGCTGTGTTATTTCTGGAATTCAGCAAGCCCTGCGGGTGCAGCAGAGGTGCTTTGACAGGTGGACTCAGCACGATGTGCAGGGACAGCAGAGATGTGCCAGGGGCTTCAGAGCTCAGGGGTGTCCGGCCCTCAGGGACCTTGTAAGGCAGGGACAACGGAGCACCGAGCTCCCTCCCAGCAGGCACAGCTCCACCCTGGGTCCGGAGGGGCTGAGGGCCAAGGCGAAGGCAGTCTGTCCAGCCCCGACTCCGGGGATCTCTCACTCATGCTGCTGCTGTAAAGTGGAGTTTTTAGGCAACGAAATGGGGAAGAAGGAGAGGACCCAGATGGCTTGTGCCAGAGCCCTCAGACCGATGTCGAACATGATCAAGGTGTGAAGCCAGGCGTGAGGGGGAGGTGGGAGCCAGGGGCTAAGCTGCCCGCAGCTCAGGCCATATGGCGCGTCCGCTCTGCCTCCGAGGTCTGGATGGACGTGCCCACGCACCTTGCCTGGGGCCTGCCCCACAGGCACCCTCCCTGCAGGCCCTACTCCCAGGCCGCAATCCCAAACGAACCCCTGGGCACACACACCACACGTGTCGGCACCAATCCAAGGGGCCCCTCCAGTGGCCTGAGCACCGGGAGGGGGGCCTGTGGATGCAGAGCTGGCAGCGCCCAGGCAAGGGGAGCCGCGAGCTGGACCCTTTTCCCCTCTCCGACTACCGAACTAATCCTGACAGCGGGGGCAGATGTGGTCACAGCCCCGCAGTGGCAGATTAAAATGTCCTCTGAGCACGTTCATTCCATCTGAATAAAACAATGCTGCATTTTTTAAAGAGCAAATTTAAAAAGGAAAGAGGGAGAAAGGGTGGGTGCAGCCTCTTCTCACAGGAGCTCCTCGCTGCCCGGCCGCCAGAGGGGCCAGGTGGGTGGGCTCCACGCGGACAGGCAGGACGGAGCCCTGTCTCTGCCGGCAGGTGCTGGTTACTCTCCTCTCTCTGAAGCAACCTCAAGGGAACTCAGAGCAGAAGCGTTCTAAGTCTCATTTTGTCTTTAGGGTTTTCTAAGCAGTATTTGGGGAAATTTAGCCATCTGTGAAAGACAGGAAACACGCCACCCGAAAGCCCCCTTGGCAAGCACTCTGGCCTGCACAGTGGTGGCCCCTGAGGGGTCCCCAGGGGAGGGCGGGGGGGGGTGTCTTCCGGGAGCGGAGAGCTGGCTGGGGGCAGCTATCTCCTCCCTTCTGGGAAATGGCATTTTCCGGGCTGACTAATCTCTTGATGGTGCCGGCTTCCAAAGACTGTTCGCCTGTAAACTCACACCGTAAAATTCCTGCTAACATTACATCTGTAGACAAATAACTTCTAGCTTATTCATGAGGGAGTTCACAAGGAAGGAGCAGATGGGAGGATCTAGGAGCTGGTGGGAGTGGAGGGAGTCGGGGGAGGGCCCTCTGGGCCAGCCCCTTCCTGGCTCCCAGGCCGGCTCTCCACCAGATAAAAGCCAACAAAAAGCAGATCTGGAGTGGGTGTCCGAGGGCTGGACTGGCACAGCATTGACCTCTCTAACATGCAAGTCTGAGTGGTCGCTCGGTGCCCTGCCGGTCCGAGGGTCAGGTGACCAGGCAGCCCCTGCCCACCTGGCAGCCAGTTCCCTGCCTCTGTCCACTTAGGGCCCAGTGCCCACCAAGGAGTTCTGGTTGCTCCTGGTCCCCCTTCCCAGCCCTCCTCGCTCTCTTTTCCCCACAGCAGAAGTGCCTCTTGCTTTCAGGAGGAGCCCAGCCCGCACCAGCCTGCCCACTGCCCTCAGAGCAGCTGTGCAAGGACCAGAGGCACTTGTCAGTCTGCAGTGTTGGTCCGTGCAAAGCAGCATCCAACCTGTGCGGCCGTCACCCAGGCCTGGGCACCACCACAGGAAGGGGCGGCACACAGCCCCTGGGCTCCCCAACCCAACTCCCAGAGTTAGTACAGGTCCTTCTGCCCCCACCTCACATGCACCACCCGCTTCACCCAGAGTCATCCATGTCCTCATGGCCACATTTGGCGACCCCAGGCCAGAGGTGGACAGTAAGGCCCAGGGAGAAGGGGCCCTGGTTCTGGGCAGCACCAGGGAGAGCGTCCACCACAGCCAAGGGGGAACAGGTCTCGCTTCAGCCAGAAGGGGCACTGCTGTAGGTCAGTTGCCTGGAATGCGTCTGAGAACACTCCTGTGTCAGCATACACTCTGCCAGCCTCTCCCTGATGCCACTGGGCAGTGATAGGGCTTTCCAGTACAAGCGGCCATGACCGCAGGGACAGAGCAACTTTGCACCCCAAAGGCTCTGCCCACCGCATGGGGTCATCTCAGAGCAGGTCCTCCTCCCTGAGGCACCGAGCGTGTTCAGGGCAATGGGTGACTGTTGCCTTAATCAGAATCTTCCGAGATGGTCTGGGGCATTGGCTCTGACTATCTGGGCTGCCTCCAGACCTATGGGCAATGCCTGAGGGTCACATAGGCCCCCTGGGTTACACTTTAGACAGAAGAAACCCCCTGCCCTTGGTGAGCTCCCCGGCCCATGTCTGGGTCCATGGTCCAAAAGGGTCAAAATCCAGGGGGTTCCAAGATTGAAGGCCTTCATATCCAACTCTCCAAGGCCCCTGCTCAGCCCCCTGGATCAGCAGACATCCCTGTGAGTTCCAGTGCTAACCAAGTTCCCAGGAGGTAAGGACACCCTGCAGGGGCCTCAGTCTCCAGCCCCACGGGACAGAAGGGTCCATGAAGCTGCCCCCTTCTCTTTGCAAACAAACTGCCCTGTAAGCCCTAAGCTGGCCTCCTCTGCATAGCAAACAGCCCTGGGTCCAGCCCTGTTGGTGACACCCTCCCCTCTGGTACCACAAAACTCCAATCCCTGCTCCCTCTCTCTTTTGTTTACCATTAATTAGCAGAGCCATATGGAAGGAGGTGAAAATCACAGCCAAGGACCAATGGGAGGGGAGCCCCCACCCCCGATGGTGAGGAGCCTGGGCCTCCCTGGGCCAGAGCGAGGGCAGGGCAGGCCATGCCAGCATCTGGAGGAGGCAGAGTCCAAGTACGTCCTCTCGCACCAAGGCTGAGGGTTCACTTCCTCTGGGTTTGCCCAGCACTCTCCTGCCTTTTGTTCACTCCGCCGCTAGCCTCACAGATGTCCTCAGGTCTCTTTGATTTTTTTTTAACCACTGGGGCAAAATTCCTCATCCCCCTTCCCCAAAAGGATAATGATAATAATCGCCGTCATTATCGCCATTGTAACGGCCTCGTCAGACGGCCCAGGACCAAGCCCACATCCCGCTTCCAGGCCTACCACTCGGAGGTTGTTTCAGAAATTAAAGCCCAACTTTACCAGCCAATGGCATCCACTGGTGCAGAGGTGATGCTGAGACCAGAGAGCCCTGGGTGACTCAGAAAGAGCAGCTCTCATGAAGAGGACCCACCGCACCGCAACCCAAGAGCCACCGCCAGCTCGTTTATTTTCCTGATTCACAAAGAGGAAAGTGAACCCAGCAGACAAAGTCCACGGCCCCAGAGCACATCACCCTACAGCCAACAGCATCACATCGTTCAAAGCTCACACTGACTTCTTGGCTAAATCTGATTTCTAGTTTTAAATATGAAGACCCAGTTACACTAATTCCATAAACAACCACGCTTGTGACCCCGATCACACAGCAGGAGAAGGAGCCCGAGGAGCAGCGATACTGAGTTCAGTGCGTCTATTCCTCAGACACATGCAGCCTAGATGCTGCTCCTTAAGTTTAGAAATACGTGACACGCACAGACAGAGCGCTCACATGACCATCTCTACGCCGTGTCTCGGGTGGGGGTCGCCCACGCGGTACTGACTCTGCGTTCCCCGCTCCTGAGAGGTCTTCCACTTTAAGGAGCCAGTGTTTCCCCGAGCACATAGCTGCTGGGTCCCACGGCTGCAGCTATGTCTGTGCTCCTCTTCCAGAAATGCACATAAAGTTTCTCATCTCGACACAAGGTCCCCAAATGTCTTTTCTGTCAGACGCACAGTGTACCCACTGGACACTCAGAGAGGCCGAGCGCGTGAACAAGCCAGAGAGACGGACAGAGGAAGCCAAGGAAAACAGCCACAGGCAGACCCAGGAGAAGAAAAATCCCCAGTCCAACAGAGCGGCTTTAAAAAGCCATCCCCAGACCTGCTTTTCCAGCAAAGAAAGCCTTCATCTTAGAAATCAGCTCTGCTCACGCCCTCTCCCCATCTCCGTCCGAGGGGAAAAGCCAAGCTCTGGATGGCTGCCTTTGTCAGCGAAAGAACGTAACATTGACTTACCTTTCCCCACAGCTATTGTCTGTCCTCCTTCAAAATGACATCACGGAAAGCAATCATGAAATTTACATGGGGGTGCAGGGTGGACGGGGTGGAGAGGCGAGGCAGCTGCCTCCCTCCCAGCGGTCACATGTGGGGAGCCTGTGTGCGGGTTTCAATTAAATATCTTCTCCCTTTAGTGTGCGAACTCCTAAGCCAGCTAAAGGCGACGTCTCATTTACTTAATGACCGCTCTCATTAGCAGCGGTGGCACGGGCTGGCGGAGAGGCTCCTTTGTAAATACGCTACCCATGAACCCTTGGGGCTCCAATATATCTGTTTACTCTCCGAGGTGAAATAAATTTACAGTATAGCATCAGAAAGATGGATCTGCTGACGGGGAGTGAGAGGTGCCCAGGCCAGCCCAGCCTCTGTCTCCTGCTCCAAGCCTCAGCCAACAGAAGGTGCCTGCATTTGCCCACACGGATTCATAATTAATATGCAGCACGGTTTGGTTTTTTTACTGCAAAACACACAGAAGGGCAGAGAGCGTCACAACCACCAAGCTCACCCCCCCTCTGCTTTCTCCACCAGTGGTTCAGTCCAATAATTCCTAATAGCAGCGACCGGAATGACAGATGCCCTGGGTTAGCACGGCTGCAGCGAAAGTACTTCACAATATTTATTGGTGGTTGGGAATACGACCTACCGTCATAAAAAAACGGATTGCAGAATTTATTACTCAGATGAGCCAGGAGGGTCACACAGTGGCTCATCTGCATATTCAAGTATCAGTGACTTAAATGGGTAAGTATGTACGTACGTGTTTTTTTAAGTGTGTAAAAGGTACCTATGGCCACAGACCAAAAAACAAATAAATAGAAGTCACACACACAAATAATAGATCAGGAGAAGATACTCTGCAAGATACTTTCTTTTATCACATGTTTCCTTTTTGTTTCAAGTCTTAAAATAATAAAACCCTCTCAAAGAGGGCTTGAGCCCTCCTGAAGCCACAAGATCCTACACCTGGAAACCACTACGCTTATCCCAGCCAGAGGGATGCACACCACTCAGCTCCCTGTCTTTCTGAGTCTTTTTCAAACTGCCTGTGAGGAGCTAGCCAGTGAAAGTCAAGAGGCGAAAGTCTGTAACACACAATAGCAGTGCCCACCCACTCTCCACGCAGCCCGCTGTCTGCTTTCTTTGGCGTTGGCTTGTGATTTTTTTCTACATTCAGGGACAAATGCAGAAATGTCCTCAGTAGGCACACCCAGGAGCCAGGGTATTCTGGCTTACTGTTCAAATTCCTTCTTCTTACTGATAAAGCAGGCAAACACTTGTCCATTACCGTACTCAGGTTGTCAGAAGCTGTTCTATGAAACATGACACAAGCTGAATTTCAGACACCTGCAAAGAATGGACTGTCACGGGCCAGCATGACTCCTGGCCCAGAATTCAGAGCAGAGATTGCAGCAGACAGTAAGTATCACTCCTTGGTAAGTTATGCATGAACACAGCACCGCCAAGTTAATTAAAGCTAAAGGGCTCAGGCCACCACAAGCACACGAGACAGAACTGAAACATTTAGCTTTCTTTAAGAGAGCAAGTTTTGAAGATCAGCTAAACTCTTCCACAACCAACTGTTTCTAACTTCCAGAGCTGCTGCCCACATTACAAGTGAGCCAACGAGCTTCGTCCTAAAAGGAGAGATGTTCAGTCTTTATACATACACGCTATTATCCACAAGTGAAATACAAACTATACTCGGAGCGATCTCTCAGCTTGAGCAAAAGGAAATAAAGGCAAGCCCTCACTGGTCAAACTGAGGATGCAAGATTAATCAGCCAGATGAGAGCAGCTTGGGCCACGCGATGGCTGCGGAACATTGTCCTCACTCTCCCCTAAGCCCACACCCACCAGCACAGGGAGAGTGTTCAGTTAAGAGCTTTCCTGAAAGCCATTTTCTGTCTCCTCTGGACACGCTGCAAGTGCTGGGATATTTTACATCCCAAACCTTTGGCATTCAGAAACTCTATTAAACTCTTATCGGCAGGCTGCAGGCGCAGACAGCACCATTGTTCCAGATGAAGATAGAATCACAGGGAGGGCCGGTGCTGAATCAGCCATATTCTCCAACAATACCCAGTGTTTCAAAGTAGTTAATTCAGATGTGTGACACTCAAACCCAGGAAACAACAGCGAGCAGAGGTAACGTCAGTGCACGCAACAAAAAGACCGGGATGACAGCTGTTTTTTCAGGTAACGTTACAGTTACATTTGTGGTGCTTGCCACACCAACCCCCCACCACCACCAGTCAGCAGGTTTCCCCAGGCTTGTAGCCCAGTGGTCTGGGATGGGGCCTCTGGACTCCACCTGAGGCTAACCAGGGAGCATTCACATGCTCAGAACTTCAAGTGGGTGCCTGTTTCAAGCGCCTGGAGAGAAGCCCTGGGAGCCCCTACTAGGGGGTCACAGTTGAAAGAGCCTGTTCAGAAGACAGGTTTTGATGAGTAAAGGTTCAAAATCTTTCTCCAACGCCATCAAGAGAACAAAGGAGGAGCCACAGGAAGGGAGCAGGGAAGGTACTCAGCCGGCAAGTTTCCAGGGTTTGCCGGCTTCCTTCAGCCAGAGTGGTGGGGTCGGATCAGCACGCTGGACAGCGCTCCCTCGTTCGCCGAGGCCTTTGTTCTCTGCAGTCATGGCAGGCTCTCGGCAGTCACTGAACCTGGCGGGGAGAGCCGGCTCGAAACCAAGGCTCCCAGCCTTTCTTGTAAGTGACAGCAGCAAGATGTCACTGAAAACTTTCTTTCCTACACAGGGGGAAAGTCAGGATTTCTTAAAAATCATAAAATACTTCCTTTTCCATAACTAAGCATAGAGTTCCTTTAAGCTTTATTTCATTTAATGAGTCTGTGGGGAAGTTGCCTGTGACTTAAGTTTGGGAAGATCCATAGGGAAGCAACTTCTAACTGGGGGGTCCTCAAATGCCACACGGGAGAAATGGGGAGATTTGCAAAACCAGACTGGAAGCTGCAGCACTTGCTAAGGAAGGTTTGTGGGAGCTGGGGAGGCGGGCTCAATGGGCGCCTAGCTGGTAAGATCATTTCAAATAAAGTGTAATTACTTGTGCAAATCTGCACACAAGTGTCAGTTCATTTGCTTCATAAAAACTCTTTCAAGTAATTTTGGTCTAAACTTTCTGCATCTGTAATTGGCACCACCTTCTCCGGTGACCAGCTGGGGGTGAGGGTTTTCTTGTTTCCTTCTGAAAGCTTCCCTGCAGATGGGCGCCCGCCTTAAAGCTGCAGACGACAATTAGGGCCGTTGTGTGTGGAGCCGCAATGGTCAGCATTAATATTGTATACGAACAGCTGAGGGCGAGGGGGGGCGCTGCCCCAGGCAGGCTCTGGCAGATGGAGCAAACAAAACCGAGAGCCACTCTCACCAGCACCCTGGACTGACTCCGTGTGCCTGTCACACACACACACACACACACACACACACACCACCCCCGTATCGAGAGACTGTTTCATGCTAAAACATCAAACACACCGACACTTTGGCACTGTGTGAACACTTACACACACAAACACACATATGATTGGGACAGTATTACACTGAATGTTTCTCACACATGCAGAGCAACTTTGCATGTGATGGAAACCCAGGGAGCAGTGGCCCCAGCAAAGCCTCTTACTGCAGTAAGTCCCAGGTGGGCATGCCGGTCACACAACACCCCTTCAAGACGCCCTCCCCACCTCGTCTTGGGAGGCGGGCCCACAGACAGGACAGCCTCCACAGAGTTCTGCAACCGGCTTGAGCGTCTGGAAGGGGAGATTAGCAGGCCAGTTTCTGAGGGCCCCGGCCTTGCTCTAAAGAGAGCATGTGTCTGTCACCTCCTCCGCTGCCCAGAAAAGAGCACTGAGGGCGGTAGGGACACACAGCTAATTAGCCCCTTTGGCGTCTTGGCAGAAACCCGTGAACAGGCCCGGGGAGGGGTGCTGAAGCAGGGAGCAGAGAGGTACGCACCCAGGAAGGTCCCGCAGAGCATCATCCTGGCTGGCGGGCACACCTCCACTCCGAAGCTTGTATACACGGTCACTTCATGGTGCAGAAAGTTGCTTCACGAACTTCTGTGTCCCAGGGCCCTGAAAAGCTCCCTTCTCATCCAGCCAATCAGGGCCAGGGAGCAGATAAACACAAATTGATGCCCTGCCAATGAGGCTCCCTCCCCACACAAAGGGGCCCCAGGCCCCAGACAATGAGCCCCGCCTGCAGGTGGGGGGGAAGCAAAGACACAGCCCCTTCTCACTAATAGGCGAACAAGTGAGGGAGGGGAGGGGCCTTTTGCTCCCCAGAGAGCCTTCCCCTCTGCACCCCCCCTCCTCCCCGACTTCCCTCTCCCCTTCTTCCTCCCACTTCCCCTCTCTCCCCGCGTCACTCTAGACCAAGTAGGCCAAAAACCTGGTCAGGCCAGTCAGGACGACTGGGGTGGGATTAGGCCTTTGGAGCCCCTCCTCCCAACACAAACACTGGCTGCCAAGGAGGCAGGCCCTTGTGGTAATCCCCACTCAAGTGTGGAGCTTTGGGGGATGGGCCAAGGAAGGTGAGGAGAGGACCAGCTCCCTTAGGGACAGAGGGTCAGGAAGGGGCATGGGAGGTGGCGGCGCGCACATGTATGTGTGTGTGTGTGTGTGTGTGTGTGTGTGATGGGTTAGGCCATTCCGGGTGAGCCCTCCCACCCCACTCCATGTCCAGGAACCTGTGGTGCCCAACAGGGCCTTTGGAGAAATAAACCAGACCTGGCTGGACACTGCTGGCTTCTCCTGATGCTGGGAGGAAGCCTCCACTCACCCCTAAGGCAACTCAGGTGTCACCTCCCAGGAGGTCTCCATCCCATCCTCAGCTTACTGTGTGCAGGTGTCTGCCCCCCAGCAAGTGAGGCTGGTGCAGCCTGTGGCAGCTAAGATTAAAGCAGAAATTCTAAACTCACTGGT